CAGATATCATAGGCAAACATATACACAATAAAACAAAACCTAGGCTTAAAACATAGAATACATTACAATAAACTTTATTTCTGGCAATAAACAAAATGGAATTATACATTCTGAATAAGTAGCAAGAAATAAAGAAACTGAAGTAAAAAAAAAAAAGAAAAAAAAAACATGGTGTTTCCCCCCAGAACATTTAAATAATTATTATTGCATTTTGTTTAAAACACAAAGCTAATAAACAAAAAGAAAAAAAAGTACTGTTGTTTAATATGTGATGCCATCGGTTCGTCCTGTGGCGGTGGCGTAGCTAGAGGTTTTTGGCGCCCGGGGGGAAGAGAAGAAAATTTCGCCCCTTCCCCCAATTATAATTACAATATTGTGAAATAAATTGATATTGGTTGTATAGCTTAAGCATCTGTACTGTACGTCCGTATCATGCACTGTTCTAGCTCTCATAAGTAGATTCTTTCTTACCACTAGGGGTGGCGTTAGGATTTGCCCGACAGGGTGGGGGCAATGCCCCAACGAGGGTGAAGATTTCCCTGACGAGAGCAAAGTGGGTGTGGTCGAGCATTGCTTAATATGTTCCGAAAGTGGTCTAGTTGGCGAAGCCCCTAAAAAAATTTTGACAATTTAGGTTTAAAGGCTTATTTAATCGATTCAGATTGTTATTATTAAATGGAAAATATTCATGCCTGATGACATAGATCAATTCCGTCATGCTTTCTAACAAGTGGTTAGTTTTTTTACTCTCCCACTTTAGCTCCCCCTCCCCCCAACCTTCCGCCCGGTGCATGTTCCCCCCTGATCCCGCTAGCTACGCCACTGTTTCCGGGAGATTCTTGCTTGCTCACGGGAGTCAGGAGGCCTTCCGGATTTCCGGAGACTCCCTCGAGTCTCCGGGAGACTTGGAACCACTCTGTGAAGGAATAGGCCTGACATATAAAGGGAGTGTTTAAATTAAATATTTTTTTGGGTACGAGATTGGAAATTAAGGGAATATGATAATTTTGTTTCTCATATATAGAAGAAGGTAAAAACGTAAGGTCCTGGAGGGGATAAATGATATTATACAGTAATTGTAATATTCACTCAATACTTAAAGTCACATTTTGTAGTGCTCTATCTGACGTTTAACGCGCAATAAAAAAAATTGAAACAATGTGCTATCCATTTGAAACGATGTGCTACCCATTTGAAACAATGTTCTTCCCATTTGAAACGATGTGCTACCCATTTGAAAAGATGTGCTACCCATTTGAAACGATGTGCTACCCATTTGAAACGATGTGCTACCCATTTGAAACGATGTTCTTCCCATTTGAACGATGTGCTACCCATTTGAAACGATGTTCTTCCCATTTGAAACGATGTGCTACCCATTTGAAACGATGTGCTATCCATTTGAAACGATGTGCTACCCATTTGAAACGATGTGCTACCCATTTGAAACGATGTGCTACCCATTTGAAACGATGTTCTTCCCATTTGAAACGATGTTCTTCCCATTTGAAACGATGTGCTACCCATTTGAAACGATGTTCTTCCCATTTGAAACGATGTTCTTCCCATTTGAAACGATGTTCTTCCCATTTGAAACGATGTTCTTCCCATTTGAAACGATGTGCTACCCATTTGAAACGATGTGCTATCCATTTGAAACGATGTGCTATCCATTTGAAACGATGTACTACCCATTTGAAACGATGTGCTACCCATTTGAAACGATTGCTACTCATTTGAAACGATGTGCTACTTATTTGAAACAATCATGGAGCAATAATACTAATTCAATTAGTATATTATATTGAATAAAATTAAGCTTCACGGATTAGTGGAGAATATCATACCGATTCTTCTATGGTGGTAATAATAATAGTATGTAATAATAGTAATACAGCAATAGTAATAATAATAATAATAAGTAATGATAGTAATAAAGTAATAGTAATAGTAGTAATAATATATAATAATGATGATGATGATCAATTATTTATGTATTAGGCAACCCTTAACTAAAATACATTTCGTCCGTTACCCAAATACAGAATGCCACTCAGTGCATCATCACACTCAATCAAAAGATGACAAGCTGAAAAAGATATGGGAAGCCACATTTGTAAGCCACAGTCATGTTGATCTTCCAACAATCATGCAGTTATATTTAAAGCGACCAAATCCGTAGTTTTTTTTATGTAGCAACAGCATAAAGTAATGTACTGTACATTTTTATCGAATGTAGGTAAGAATGGTCCTGGAAAAAAATGGCCTAGAAAAAAATGGCCCCGGAAAAAATGGCCCCAGTGAAAATGGCCTCGAATGACAAGTAGGTAAAAATGGCCCCAATGAAAAAATTCAATAATAGAAATGATATTTTTTTTTAAATCTTCAAATATTTAAATACTGTAATAAGCAAGAATTGAATCAATAACAAATGTGGCAAAGACAAACCAATCCAGTCACTCGTCGCAAATCGTGTTTCAGAGGAAATGGCCAAAACATGGTGGAATGTCAAATTTTAAAAAATCTATTTTATTTCACTAAACTAAGCTTTATATATCTACACATCATTCTATGCTGTTATTTTCCCATTTTCAATGTTAAAACAACACTTTTTAAGAATTTAAAGATAGTTTCTGCATGAGAAATGCCTGATATAATAAACTTTAAAGGCTGATTTCTCATATATTGTTCTTTAAACAGCTGTGTGGTTAAACGCTTGTAACTTCATAAGGAAATGTCGGATTTGAATGATTTTTTTACCATTTTATAGCTATTATTTTACTCTCTAACAATGTATTAATAACTCAAAAATGATTTTTGCGTCGAGTGACAGGTTTGGCTTGTCTTTGCCACAAATACAGTTACACAACAGATGCAAATGTACTGAGAGATTATCAGAATACAACGGCCATTGAACATTTTTTGATAGTTGAAGTAAGTTTTAAAAACGTTATTCCACTAACAAAGTAGAGGAATGACATACATACAGTACTTCAACTACCAAAATATGCAACTCAACACAAAATTCACGTTTGTTAAGTATCAAATGAAATAACTTTACATGTTATAAACAGTGCAAATAAACAGTAGTTAAAGCATGTGGATCAATTGTGTGTTTGAATGACAAGTTCATGTATGGGAAAAGGGAGGCTTACTTTACTTCAACAAATGTTCTGCTTAGAGTTACTTTAAAGAAGTATATTTTAATCAAATATTAGCTTTTTTCACACTGTGGCAGTGCCGATGGAAAACAGCAGCTTTTTGCATTGCGGCAGTTTTGTTGGCACTATGGCAGTGCAGATAGAAAATAGGAGCTTTTTTGCGCACTGCAGTAGTGCCGATGGAAAATAACAGCTTTTTTCGCATTGTGGCAGTGCCGATAGAAAACAGCAGCATTTTTTCGCACTGCGGCAGTGCCGGTAGCTTCATTCGTAATTAATTCAACCTAAGTCTAGTGGATCTATGAATTATTTATATGTATTATACAATGTTTTAAAATGCATCTTCCTTGCTAACTTCATTAATACATGAAGTATTGTGTAGGCCTGCTGTGAACAGTCAATGTTATGTTTGTGCTATTCTGTTCAGTTCATGCTTCAATTTGGTTAGAATTTATATTTTCTGCATGAGTATTTTCTTTCATGTATGATTGATGTGTTACAGCTCCTGTGCCTGTTTTTTTTTTCTTTATTATAAAACAAACATGCTATGAGTTTGATAGAATTTTTGACGAGAAATCAAATTAATGACCCAAATTTGACTTTTTGTAGATATGGAAATAGCAAATCGTGACTAAATTTTCTTCGATTTAATTTTATTTATTTTAACAATTAATCATAAGCCTATCTGATTAATGGAGCCCTTTGCTTAAATAAAATAATTTTTATAGAGAAAATATGCAGGTATTGAGGCTTTAGGATTATATTTACCGCTTGCAAGGCTCTGCCCAGTATGCTCCATATTCTACTTCTTGTTAGGTTTGCATTCTAAACATGCTCTCGGTCACTGAGATCAACGACAAATACACGCATATCGATTCTGTTATTGCCTCTCAAGGTGTGATTATGGCTTTTTACATTCTAGCCCCAAAAGATACAGATTGTGGAATTCGCAACTTTCTAGAAGCATCTTCAATTGCATTAATATAGACATTGAAAAACTTGCCATTTAACTTCCAGTACCTTCTACCAGGGAAAAAAATAATAAAATATCTTGGAAATCTCAAATAGATAGCATAAATTATAAATTGAATCAGATGAAAAAAAGGATTATAAAGAACACATTTTATTGTAAGATTAACCTACAATTCTATTTTTTTTTATATCTTCAAGATTAAATATATATCTGTATATCAGATTATTATGTGACACTAGTGTAGATGGTGGATATATATATATATCCTTACTATAGCAAGTTTTTAAAGTGGAGTATGTACTGTTAACTCTGCATTTCTATTGCTGTTGTTTTATTTTTGGTTGGGAGTTTAATTCAAAATTTACAGGGCCTATATTATATTACATATTATAATTATTATATAATTATATTATATATTATATTTTTTATTATATGCCTTAAAACATTTTTGATGGAGGACTTGGCTATAAATTAATACATGAACAGCTACTGTACGCCCTGGTTTGATCCAGATCTGGAAGATTCCCCTAAAATCTATAATTTCGAAACTAATAATTATTTTTTAACAATGTTTAACATTTCAAGGTCAGTTAAATTTGTTGTGTAATACATGTTTTAATCTTCAATCAACAATAATATAATTATAATAATATTAACAAATCTTAACAATTGGTATTTACAGTATTCAATGAGTGTATACCTCTATGAGGATGGATATTTTATTTAGGAATATACTATACTGTTTTAAGGTTTAGTTTTGTTTTTTATGTACCTTTTTTAAGGATCAAGAGGCAGGGTCAATTTGATCAACAATGTACAGTATTACATTAATAACTATAAATTCCAAAAATGCTATTACTTTTTAGCTTCCAGGTGTGAAAAGGAAGCAACGCATGCAATTAACAGAATACGCCTGGAGCACAAGAATGCCATCGTTGAGTGGATTCATTTGGATTTAGCCTCTTTGCAGTCTGTGCGTAGGTGTGCAGCATTGTACAAATCATACAACCTTCCTCTTCATGTTTTGGTAAATAATGGTAAGATTATTGATAATTACTTGGTAAAGTACAGTAATACCCTGGGTCACCATTACTATTTGGTTTTCAGGGTGGGTTATTAGAGTATGGGGTTTCTAACAGGGGAGGCATTGGAAAGTAATATCCCAACCATGATTTCTATGTTGACTCCCAGTGAATAAGTTTACAACTATAAGTTTGTTGATATTTTAAAGTGATACCCAAAAGAAATAACATTAATGCATAAACTATCATTTTTAACCAACAACATTGTTGCCATCTTTGACTACCATCAAATCATCAGTAGCATCTGTGATACCCTCATTATCGATAGAAAATAGTTCAGGAAAATCACCTTCATCAGGAACTTGTATTGAGCTCTTAAATAGTTTATCAGGCTGAAACATGCTATTGCTATACCTTCTCAACAATCATTCTTCTAACCCAAAGTGCAATATGAATTAGTCATTTATTAATAAGCAATTAGAGTAGTTGCGTATCATATACTATGTGGAAATTAATACAGCGGCTAGATTAATGCAAGAAAAAATTTGTTTGAAAGCATTTAGTCTAACCTAAGAATAATAATTTCACATAGTGTATAGTTTTAATTGCAAGTCATTCGCTATCTTTTAATATTAATTTTACAGTATCATCAAAATTTTGTAGTAGTCATCAGTTGCTATAGTGGTATGATCAGTCTCAAACATGACAAGTCAGCATAGCTGTCTCTTATACACATCTAGATGTGTATAAGAGACAGCTAGCACAGCAGCAGTGCATTTGAAAGGTGTGTACACAGCAGTACGATGAAGAACTTGTCATGAGTTTACTATTTTGATAGACATTCCTCAAAGAAAAAAAATTTCATCAAGCATTTGAGAGAATACACTCTAAAAACATCCTGGTGAAACTGGTGAAATTTTCACCAGATGATATGTTCGTATAGCACCTACATAATCCTGGTGAAATTCACCAGGATCATCTGGTAGAATAATTTCAACAAATATCCTGGTGAAAATAACCAGAAATTATTGGTGAATATTCCTGGTTATTTTAACAAAATTCCTGGTGATAATAACCAGGAACTATTGGTGAATATTCCTGGTTATTTTAACTAAAATCCTGGTGGTATTAACCAGGAACTATTGGTGAATGTTCCTGGTTATTTTAACTAATTTTCTGGTGATAATAACCAGGAACTATTGGTGAATAATTTCCTGGTGATAATAACCAGGAATTATTGGTGACTATTCCTGGTTATTTTAACTAATTTCCTGGTGGTATTTACCAATTTAACTGGTTATTTTTGAGCTGCCATCTTGGTTAAAAGCTATAAACTCAAACGTATTTATGGTTAAATACGTTTGGTTAATTTTACCAGTAATATTGTTTATATCAATATGGATGCCACCATATGCCTGATCACAACCAGTAATTCCTGGTTTAAAAAATAAATCCATCAATAAAGCATGCTAACATAAAAATAAAAAAGAAAACAAATATAAATTACTGTATTTGATATTCATTTTAATATTCAGAAGAAACATTCCTATCAAATAAGTCAACTTTATAAAACAGTTATAATGCAATAATATTTATAAAACTTTTTCTAATATCATTCAAAACTTTTTTGTGATATTACATCATTTAAAACAAACTTGCTATAAAATAATTAAAATGTAATCAGTTTCAGCCAAATTGCAATTTTGACACACAAACCTTTGGGTTTAGCAGAAATATGTTCAGATTCAACTTTTTTGCTTAGTCTTCACATAAAATAGTCTGAGTCTATTGTACTTATACCAAACGCGTACAAAAAAATTGCCATCAATATTTATAAAATATACTAAAATTTGAACTGTCATAAAAACATAATTAAAATAGTGAAGGGTTATTTTCACATTTAAAAACAATCTTAATTAAAAAGTTGTTACCTATCACATATTTGCATCATTTAGAGTCAGAGAAAATGGAATAATAAATTAAAATATCTAGATTGACTTCATAAACATATAACACTATGCAGTCAAACTCATTAAGGTAAATTGTGCTTAAGTTTAAAAATTTCTAAGGCTAACTAATTTCTTATGTACAAT